AGCTAATTTTGTAAACCTATTATCTTTACCATTTTAATTAGGAATAAATAATCTTTCATAGCTCTATCATTTCAAAGTATCATTTATATTTGTAATTATTCGAACATTTCGAAACTACTTCCTTTTATCATTGATATTAACTTTCTTTGATATTTTTAGTATTGCTAAATTTTCCACTCTCATTAATAGCTTTTCATCAATAGAAGTAATCAAATTCGTCATAACTTTATGAATGAGACATTTATTTTATCAAATGGATAATATTACCAAAAAGAAATGACTTCAGAGCATTTGCTAAAAATGAAGTGTAAAATGATTTGAAAATGAAGTGTAATATTTATTTTAGTAAAAATGCAGTAATATGTATGCGAGATGGTAAATTGTGCTTACTTTTTCGGGTTGGTGACATGAGAAAAAGCTCGTTAGCTGAAGCTCATGTTCGTTTGCAGGTTAGTTTCATAGAAAATCCAGCACGGAAATTTCATATAATTAAATGTAAGAGAAAAGAAATAAAATTTAATTGGAATAATTTGGAATTGCTTTTCTTCTAAAAAAAAAAGGTATTTATATTTTTACATGCGAAGATAAGTGGTTCTTTTTCCTTTTTGTTTGCTTTAATTTAAATGATAAGCTAATTAATTAACTAAATTGTTATTAATACATTTTGCGAATGTTGCAGAAGTTTGAATAGGAAACATTATGACTATTGTTTAAATTATATAAATTATTATAGCAAATTAGATATGGGTATTTTTTGATAATTTTAGCAATAATTTCAACGTCTTAAATAGAGTAATCATTTTAGATGATCAAAAAATGTATAACTTATGAGGGAGAGTTGTTACCTTTTCATCAATTTGATATGGATGTTGGTTATGATACGGGCTTGGATCGTGTGTTTGTCATTTGGCCAATAACAGTTTGCCATGAGATTGATGAGAATAGCCCGCTATATGAGGTAAGCAAGGATAGCTTGCGTACAGCTCGATTTGAAATTATTGCTATTCTCGAAGGTGTTGTCGAATCGGTTGGTTCAACAACGCAAGCACGAACATCTTATTTACCCAATGAAATTTTATGGGGCAAACGGTAAGTTAAACATATTTTTCATGCAAAATAAAACGATGATTTATTTCTATCTGTTCAAAGAAAAGAAAAGAAAGGGAAAACACCAAATTTATTCATTTATTTTGTTGATCCCTTTTATTCATTTGTTTAATTTCTTGTTGCAATTTGCTTACCAAACTTTGATTTTTGTTTATTTCAAAATAAGAACCACTATTTTAGGAATGATATGCTTATAAAAAAATATAATAATACTAATTAATACTATCATACAAGAATATAAATATCATCAAATATCAAGTAAGCATAGTATTTGATTTTACGGATGAATTAAGACTGGTAATAGACTAACACAAAAAATCCACAACCGCCATTCTCCGAAGGAGAATGACATTCCCAAAAAATAAATGGGCGGCCGGGCTGCGTACCGCCATCGGGCTCTCCAAAGATGCATGCCTAGGGGCATATTGGTCGCATCTTTGTGACACGCGATTCCATTCATTAGTCCTTACACATACAAGCAGAACAAACGTACCAATCAAACCGTCCGACCATCAACTACACAACATACTGCGCGGTCACCTCATCGACCCGTCCTTTTGTTCCTATAATAATTCAGTCGTGATCGCCACTGTAAGCAGTTTATTGTTGTATACAGTGAGATTAAAGATAATGTTAGATATCAGACAGTTAAACAGATTGTGCTTGCAACTTATACAGCAGGAATAGATTGAGAAGATGCATAGATAAACAACTGAGATCTTTGGTGTTTCCTAGAAGTCCTAAAACAATACCTAATTTTTAATATATTTTTAAAATATATTTTAACTTATCAAATTGTTGAAATTTAAGTTGTAATGTTTTTTTAATATTTAATGCTTGAATTAATTATAAAATGAAAAGCTAAATCAAATTTCAATTCAAATATATGCAGAATATTTTCCATTATTTCGTCTATGGCGTATTTATTTGAGGATAGCATTTGCTATCTTTTATATTGCAATTTCTACTGCATCATTCCTTATCGTTGATGCTGCATTTGGACGATATCTTCAAAATATAAGATATTTTTTTGTGTCAAAATTATTGTTATTATATGATATGATATAAGAGACCTGTATTTCAAAATAGATAGTTCCACGAAACAAAACACCAAAAAGAAGTGCCATAATAACAATTTTTCCACGATGACAGCAGACAAATCGAAATATCACTGCTGTCCTGGAAAAAAAAGCAGAATTTACTTCATTTCATTTTTTAAACATATCTTAAAATTAACATAAAAATAATTTTCTATTAAAAATAAAATTCATTAAAATTCTTTTTCTTTTGTTTTACATAACTTCTGCTAGTGCCATTTTGAAGATATCGTTCAAATGCAGCAGCAACGATAAGAAATGATGCAGTAGAAATTGCAATATGAGAGATAGCAAATGCTACCCTCAAATAATTATGCCATAGACGAAATAATGGGAAATAATGAAAATATTCTGCATATATCTGAATTAAAATTTCATTTAGTTTTTCATTTTATTTTTGATTTAAATATTAAATATTTAAAATAAAAACATTACAACTTAAATTTCAACAATTTAATAAATTAAAATATATTTTTAAAAAATTATAAATTTTATTTGAAATGAAAAGAATGAAAATTTTCAACTCAGATTGCTTAAAATTTCATCAATAAAAATTACATTTTTTTTGAAATTATAAAATAAAAAAATTTACTTTGTTTTTTTTAGATTTCAGTAAATTATTGTAACTTTCGTATACTATTCCTTCTCATCATTATTCTATTTCTTGCAAATATTTAGATTTCAGTTTGTCAAGTTACGATATGAAGTTTCAAATTAAAGTTTCGAATTTTAAATTAGTCCTTTAGAAATTTCCAGTTTTACAGTTTTGAGAAGCTTGTAACATATCAACGCGATAATGGCGAATACAGGATTGATTTTGAAAAATTCCATAATGTTTACGATGTTGATACTCCACCGTGTTCAGCAAAAGAACTTGATAAGATGCAGGTAGTGTTTTGATAATAGTTTAAAATAAATGAGATAGGTGAGCAATTTCAAAGTATAGCTGTATTGCTTTGGGAGAACAGATAATAGCATTCTGTCGGAAATAACTATTTTTATTCCCTTAATTATAGCAGGAAATATTTTGAAAATGAAACGTTTAAAATCTTGATTTGAAAATGTTTTTTTACGAGAATAATTCAGGACCTTGGATTAAAACCGGAGAATGCTTATCAAATAGCACCTGATTTAAATGATAATTCGACTGGAAGTTCACCTGTTGTTGCGATTCATCCGAAAGGTTCTAGTCCACGATTATCAGTTTTATTAAATAAAGGAGATAATGGTACTTTATATCATCCTGATAAAGTTGAAACGGATGATGAAGATAACGACCAAACAATTCATGTAAGTTTAGTACAATTTTTTTCGAAAAATATTCTTAATTCTTTAAATTAAATAACATTTTATTATTTTCTGCAAATTTTATTCTATTTAAATGAACAAATTTTGTCATATTATCTTATCTGAACTTCCTATGTCTATTAACTTGACTGATTTTTCATTTCCAAGGTTTGTTTGAAAATTATAAGCACACTTCAATAGTTGATACAGTTGATGATTTGATAGTTGATATAGTTTGATAATATATGTGATAAAATTGATAAATATGATAATTTGATAGCTGATATATATTTGATAAATAAATATGTATCAGAACTATATTGATTTTTTATTCAATATTCTTTTTTGATACTAATGTCAAACAAAAATAGATAAAAAAGGAAAAAGAAGGTGAAATTTTAGGTAGATGTTGGCGTACAACATAAGCGATCACTATTGATGCATGCTCAAAGTCCGGATATTTTAGCACGTCATAAGCAATCAATAAGACGAGGTCCTGACCTTTTTTAAAGAAATTATTTGCTTTCATTTTTCATGTGTTTGCATTTTAATATGCGGTATCCTTCTTGCCGTACATTCCTGCTTTATCATTTACTATTACAATAAATGTATAATGAGAATATACTGTTAATGTCCCATTTATACGTTTAGTGTTAAAACTTTGATTTCCAGAAATATTAAAGATTGAAATAAATTTATACATTGTCACGTGTTATCGGCAAAAATAAAAAAGGCATGAAATTATTAGGATTTAATTATAAACCATTCATTCGATAATTTCACCTTAAGCCTAATAATGTAGTACTTTATGGGATTATCATTCAAAACTGTTCAATCATTTAGGTAGAAAATATTTGAAATGCTAGTAAGTACAATAGCAAACTCAACTTTGCCATATTCGTATTTCTCAAAAATGGCTACAAGTATCGATCCATCCGATACTTTCGTTGCTAGCGATTTGGATCACTTGATCCTAGCAAAGAAGATATTGTCATCGCTATGTTTCCGGAAAATTATCTAAGTGTATTTTATCACGATGCAATCATTGTTTTTTTCCATTCGTTATGGTGAAATAATCTAAATCGATAACACTAACAATAAAAGTCGTTATTACTTATTTCAACTGTTTTCCTGATACTGATAGAGTGAGAATTATGCTTTTACTTTTTCAAAGCTTTCAGATTGATTAATGGTTGATTAAAATGTGAATTTTGGATGAAGTGAAAATTTGTTATGATTCCTTTTAAAACATGATAAATTTGATGAAATTTGATCGATTAAAGGAGGATCGAGTATTCGAGCCTGTATATTTAGGCTCTTTTGCCATTTCATCTATTAAAATTAGCTCAAAAATATTGAAATTTCGTATGTGTAATTTCAAGTGTATTGTAAATGATTCGATTTTTTAAATCTTCTAATTAATCTTTATATAGGTAAATAGAAGTGGTTATATGGGTAGGTTGTAGTGAGCAATAATAATACATTGTTCTTTATATAATAATGATAATATCATTCCGGTATGGAAGAGGAATCCTTTTCAGCTTGATTAAATAATGGATTGGACGAGAGTAATAGAATTGTTTCATGATTATCGTTTACTTCAGAAGATGATTGTTCTTCGGTAGTTAATGGAATTCGAACTGCAATTCGTGATGGGATCATTTCCAGCGAAACAATTGAATGCTGTGACCTTTGTCTACCAATACCTGTCAACGATATGCATATTGCTCCTGAAATGCTTCATTTTAGGCGTAAAATATCAAATGAGGATTTATAATATTTTCATTTCAGGTGTAAAATACTAAATAGAAATTTTTAATTTAATAAAAATACATCAATTTTTGGATTTAAGTTAAATTTTCTACCATTTTTTTTCCTATTTCTTCCAATCTTAACATCAATATTTGCTTCAAAATTTAATTAAAACCTAACCCAAATCATTTCGTTTTTTATGTAGCATAATATCATCCATGGAATTATGCGTATTATTTTTGTTTTGACTATTTAGTTGCTGTTTTAATTCACCCTTTAAATGATGCTTCCGTTTGGATCGTTTCGATAGTATTGAAAAACAGACTGCCAAATGATAATAGAAAAAGCATATAGCAAAACGGACCTATAATTTAATAAGAATTATTTTGGGAAGTGAAAATTTCATCAATTTTCTTATTTGGATATTTTATAATTAACTGATTTAAAATTAATTTAATTCAAATTATAAGCGAAAGAAGAAGAGAAGAATGAAGAAAGTATGAACTTAATTTTAACAATGATAAAATCAAAAATGAGCGAAAAATTAATTAACCTCTCTTAAAATAATTTTATCATTGATTAAATATATAGGAAATCGTAAACTAGCAGCTAATATGGTAAGTAATGATGAAACATCTGTTGCAATCGAATAAAACTCTTCCAATTGTAACAATGATGCATCATCCAAATATTCCCAAGCAGAAATGAAAACATCAATGATATTTGAGAATAGATAACAGGTGACAACCATTATCAACGATCTTGTTGCTTCTTTGACACGATTATGAAGTTTACATGAAGCTATCCTTAAATTTAATTAATAGTATATGACAATATTTCTCTTTTTAAATTTATTCAATTCCACTTTTTTTATACTGATTTAAAATTTAAACAACAATTAATGACAGTTTTGTTTTTTTCGTTTCTTATTTTTCATCAAAGTAAATTTCAATTTTGAAATACAAATTTCTTTTAAAAATTGTTTGTTCGTTTTTTTTTTTTGTTTACAAAACATCTTTTTGTATTTATTTAAATTTTAGCAATAAACAAAAAGGATTGTTTTTTTTTGCAAGAGAAAATTTTAATTTTAAAATACAAATTCTTTTGGATTATTTGTTTGTTATTTCAATTCATTGTTTTTGTAAAATTTTAACAATGATCAAAGAAGGTTTTATGCTTTTATGTTTTCGCTAAAGAAAATTTCCAAAAAATTATTTCTTTTGATAATTCAAATTTCTGATGGTATCGATTTTAAATTTTACCAATAACTAAAAGGGTTTCATTCAAGAAAATTTCAATTTTTAGAATAAAAATTTTTTTTCTTCGAATTATTTTAATTAAACATAATTAACGTTGTGTTCAAATGATTTTGAATTGGGAAAAGAGAAAATGAATGAGAAAAATTTCTTGTCAAAAATTTTCTTTATTTAAATTTATTGCTTTTTTTTCAAATTTAATTTCACATTCTTCTTTTTAAACGAATAGCGCAATAAAAAATGAGAGAGAAAGAGAGAGAGAGATTTTAATTGCAAATATAAATTTTAGTATTTCAAAAATGTCGGCGCCAAAGTATATTTGAGCATAAATATTTATAACAAATAAATTATTGTTCGGTTTTTGTTTGAAAAAAACGAAGAAAAATAAAAACAAAAACAAAAACAAAACAAAAATAAAACTGGTGCTGTACGATTGTTGAAATTATTTATATCTGTAAGCTTTTTTTCGAAATTCGGAAAATTTGAAAATGACAACCGATTCATTATCGGTCAAGTATAATTTATCATTTTGTCAAATGAATTGAATGTTGCAAATTGTTGATTAATAAAAGAAGGAATAAAATCATTTGGTTTTAGAAAGAAAAAATGGAAAATTACTAATTGAGGAAGAATTTAAGTTTTATCTATCCAACTATTAAATATGATAAATTGTGAATCTGAATCTGAATCTTGAAGAAGGAAAATAAAAAAATTTAAATTTGATCTATTCAGTTAATAAGTATGATAAATTGTGAATCTGAATCTGAATCTGAATCTCGAGGAAAGAAAATAAAGAAATTTGAAGTAGATTTGATACATATCAATAATATCAGTAGTAAATTGTATTTGGGAATAAACAATTTCATTAGATTCAAAAAATGAAAAATTAAAATAAAATTTTCTAGAAAATTTTGAAATTAAAAATGAAAGTAACATGAATTATTAGAAAAAATTGTTTTAGAAATAAAATATAAATTAAATTATTTGTTGTTCTTTTTTTGGTTTCTTTTATTTTTTGCACTAAAATATGAAAATAATTTTATTTAAAATCTTTCATTCATTTTTGAAAAATACATGCGTTTATATTTGTGCTGAATTAATATCTGTAAAAATTCGAATAATTTTATTTTCATCTTATTGCAATCATTAGTACATTTTAATAGCCGTAATTCATTCAAAAAATTTAGTTCAACAAAACAAAAAATTTAATTATGAAATTATTTCTATCAAAATTAGGTGAAAGAAAAATCGAAAAAGAAATTTAATACATTCTTTAATTATAAAAATATTTCTATTAAAATTAGATAATATCGATCGATCGATCGATCAATGGTTAACGAATAATTTATGTGTGATAGCTAATATTATAAAACATTTACTAATAATTTGGATTATTTTTGATATTTCATATGTAATACTTTATTAATCATTATGTAATACTTTATTAATCATTATGTAATACTTTATTAATCATTATGTAATGCTTTATTAATCATTATGTAATATTATATTAATCATTATGTAACATTTTATTAATCATTATGTAATACTTTATTAATCATTATGTAATACTTCATTAATCATCTGAAATAATCATTGTAAAATTAATTGGATGAAAACTTACGAAGCTCCAAATACGCAATATAATATAAGCATTTTAATCGTATTTTCGCGATTATTCTTTTGTAAATTGATTACAATTGTTGCATTACAATATAATAAAATAAAAAATGGCAAAAATACGGTAGCAATACGTCTAGTCCAAAAACGCCATATTCCATCATAGTAAACATTACGAGCAAGTTCACTAATTTTTACACCCATACTTGCAAATCCTTCGCATTCTTCCAAATAATAAATCTGTCATTAATTAATTTGCAAAAATTTTTTTTAATGAAAATTATAAAAAAGTAAGATTTGGAAAAAAAGAAGTTCCATTTTATTAATTAATTATAAATGTTTTAATAATATATTACATATAATTAGGGGTTTTTTTTTTGTTTAAAAGAATAAAGATGAAAATATTTTAAAATTTAATTAAAAGCTTTTCCTTTGATAAATTTAATTCTTTTTTAAAAATTTTTTTAAATTTCATTCCTTAGATATAAAAAATAATAGTAATAATATGTTATTATAATAAGAATCATACTTTTAACATTAACAAAACTGACCAATTCTTATAATATAATCATTAATGATAAATAATGGTTTATTAAAAATTAAAAGTGTAAATATATAAAGTATCTTATAGTATATTTTTTTTATCAAAATTATTGTTATTATATGATATGATATAAGAGACCTGTATTTCAAAATAGATAGTTCCACGAAATAAAACACCAAAAAGAAATGCCATAATAACAATTTTTCCACGATGACAGCAGACAAATCGAAATATCACTGCTGTCCTGGAAAAAAAAGCAGAATTTACTTCATTTCATTTTTTAAACATATCTTAAAATTAACATAAAAATAATTTTCTATTAAAAATAAAATTCATTAAAATTCTTTTTCTTTTGTTTTACATAACTTCTGCTAGTGCCATTTTGAAGATATCGTTCAAATGCAGCAGCAACGATAAGAAATGATGCAGTAGAAATTGCAATATGAGAGATAGCAAATGCTACCCTCAAATAATTATGCCATAGACGAAATAATGGGAAATAATGAAAATATTCTGCATATATCTGAATTAAAATTTCATTTAATTTTTCATTTTATCTTTAATTTAAATATTAAATATTTAAAATAAAATTATTGCAACTTAAATTTTCAACAATGCAGTAAATTGAGTATCAAAAAAGATTATTAATCAACATAAGTCTTATCAATTTCTTCCTTTTGCTTTTCGTAAATTTATAGATATAAGAAAAGAAATGTAATTTCCTAAAATCTATAAATTTTAAATAATTTAAAAAGAAAAAGTTATTTTTAGCAAAAAAATTTACCTGTACTGACATAATTTCAACATATGAAAAACAAATAAATATATCACAAGCACTAAGACATGTGATATATAATAAATTCTTATTTCGTAATGCTTTTGAGCTTATAAATGTATAAAATACGAGAGCATTCTCGAGAAAACCAATTATTGCTATTATTGTACCAATAACACCTACCAATATCATTTTAAAACCCTTAAATAAAAAAATCACTTAATTTTTTAATTGCTTAATTAATTATATATACTGATAGTAATTTACAAAAATTCCAGCATTTTCTTTTTAATTTTTAAAAATTTAAAATTTATTAAATTACAATTATTTTCACATGCTCTTTTTTTCCCCTCCCCCTCTTCTTCATTTTAATTCAATAAATGATATTAGAAATGAAATTAAATAACAAACTAGGAAAAGTGGTGGATGTTCTTCGCATTCTGATCCACTATTTGATAATGTTAAATTATCGTCCATCTAAATAACGATTTATATTTGAATTTGATTACAAATGAAATTATTAGAGTCTAATATTAGTAATTTGAATTATTATAATATTGAAATGATAAGAAATAATATAAAATAATTAATTTTTAACAAACAAAATAAGATAAATTAGTAATGAACAATTATTATATGCTTTATTAATTTCATTGTTTTTAATTCATTTGTTTTTTTTTTAAATTTTCAAATAGCATAGAATTTTTTACGTATTCTTACACTTTAATAATTATATTGAATAAACATTGAAATGATATTTATTGTTTATAATTATACAACAAGTAAATATTTATAGCGAAATTTTTTTCTTATACTTCTTGACGTATATATATATCAATTAACTTTGTTGTAATTTATAGCAATACTAGTTAATTTTCCCCTCTCTCTCACTCTCTCTCTCTCCCTTTACCTCTTCTATTTTATGTATTGTTAAGAGCAGAGGTATTAAATTTATTATTGCTTATAAATTTTTCAACCAATCAACAACGAATATTGGAATGTAATAATCATTTATCGAATGTGAAAAGTATTGAGCCTAAAAATGAATCAAATAGCTGTAAAGTGATAAATTGTAAATTGGAAATTAGCTAATTCAAATGCATTTATTATATTATAATATTCCGCTTATTTTAATTCAACAAAAAATTTATTTCTATATTTTCAAAATTATTTCTTATTCTCTTCGTTATTTCAATTTTTCTATATTTCGATAAAATTGAAATAAATTGGATCGAAAAAAAAGAAAACTTATTCTCTTTATAATTTATTATTTTAAAATGATGTGTTGAAGAAAATTCAGAAAAGAAATGATGAAAAGATTGTTTCCGTTTTCTTCTTTTGTTTTTAATATTTAATGTTAATTTCAAAAATGCTATCAGTGAAATTAAATTCAGTATAATTTTGTTAAATGATGAAATCATAAATGGGAAATTATTTTACAACGTTTGTTTTAAATTGCAATCAAAATTCATGCAAAATAATTTTATTATTAAAATGATCAAATTAGAAAATGATCAATTTTATTTATCAAAATATCGATTTATTGAAACGAAATTAAATCATTGATAATTAGAAAGTTTTTATTTACATTTTATAAAAAAAAAAAACCAAATCCTATAGATTTGTTTATTTAATAATTTAGGAATATTTTTATCAATTATATAAAATTGATTGCTTCATTTTTTCAGATATGTATATGTGTGTGCAAGTTTTGATTTTATATTTTTCTAAACCAGAATTGAGAATAGCTCAAATTTCTCTAATTTGTTACTAACATATCTCTTACCGTATCAACTTATGTTTATATCCGTTTCTTGTTTTCTTAGGATCACAATTATTCTTCCATTCAAAATTTGTCAACTAGAAAAATAAAATAAAATAATCCCATCGAATGTTTGATTTTGCATTACTAAAATTTTGCTCCGATATGTATATATTCATCATTGCAAAATTAAGTGCAATTATTGCTGCATGGAATGAAAAATTGAATCTGATAAACGACAATCTATTTGATCAACAAAAATCAAATAATAGTAATTGTTTATTTGTAAATATTATTTCCAAAAATAAATCTTCTTTTTAAGCATATTTAAATTAATGCAAAAAAAAAAAAATGATATTACAAAATATCGTTGAAAAGTTAAAAAAAGCATTAGCGAATATAATTTTAGGAAAATTCTTTTTTAAAAAAGAAAGATGAAATTTAAAAGTGAAGCAAAAAAACAGAAACTAATGACAAAAATATGGTATTTATTTGAATTAAAGACTTTGAAAATAAAATATGGCATGAAATATTGGAAGAAATTTCTGCATAAAATTAGTTAATTGCAGTTTCAATCGTAGTATCCTATCGAACGAATACGCTAACTTATAATATAATCCATTTTATGATTAAAACAAATAGTTCTTTCATTCAATAATTTATGAAATTATTTAATCATTCTAATCTTTTATTAGAAAATTTTCATTCATCACTTTTATGATTTGAAAAAAATTTGTACAAGTTGAAATTTCGAAACTTTGATTTAGTATGTTATTTTATAAAATACACTTTTTATGTTTATAGATAATAGTATAACTATGAAGTAGTGCTTACAGAATAGATTTTTAAATTAGATAATTTTAAAACTTCATACTGAAAATAAGGATGATATAAGTGGCGATACAAAGTTAATACGACAACAGGCTGCATAACCAGATAAGAATTATTCTAATTGATATGAGATTAATAAAATGAATTGAATTGAATGATATAAATAAAAAAAATTGATGATAATAGTGGAAATTCAATTAGTACACAGTAAAGATTGAATGAATTGAAATTGCTAGCAATAATATGTAAAAATAATTGTTGAAAATGATAATTAAAATACAGCATTGAAATAAATGCGCAAATAAAAACAAATATAATCAATGAAATGTGGCGCTAATGTACAAGAAGTAATTGAAGAAGTATATTAATGATAATTAATTGATAGTGAAATTCTATCAATTATTATATACTGTCAAATAGAGGTATATTAATGATAATTAAGTGATAGTGAAATTCTATCAATTATTTTATACTGTCAAATAGAGGTGAGGAAGAAAATGATAAGTTACTAAAATTTTTGAAGTTAAAACTTTTTTTTAATTTTTATAGTTTGAAAGTTTGAAAGATTGTGATAATGATAAAAATGAAAATTCGAAAAGGCATTATAACTGAAGCGTTAAGACAGCAATTGAAGTTCTGAAAAATAATAAAAATAAAATGATATTATTTACAGCAGTGAAAAAAGAAGAGGCAAGCAAGTATAACTTAATGCAAGTAGAATTAAATGTTTTCAGTAATTTATCAAGATTGCAAAAAATTGTCAACAATAAATAAATTGTGAAAATAGCGTATATGTGGAGTAGAAGAGATTATAAAACAGGTAGAGATGAAAGTATAATTAATAATTTATTTGAGTTAAATAAGTTCAAATATAATGAGAAGTTAGAAACGAAATTAGAATTCGGTTCAATGAAATTTGAAGTGAAAAAATGTGTGACAGTGTGAGTGTTAATTAATAAAAGGTAAAATAATACAATATGGTGAGATTGGATTGACTGAATGATTGTTGCAAAAAATTTGATCATTCTTCAATTACTAATGACATTAGCAAAATAAATGAGTCTATACTTGAAATGGGAAAAATAGTGAAATTCGGAATAAATAGTGCTAATATGGTGGGATAATTAATAAATGAGCAATTGTGATTGCAAATCGCGCATGCACTGCATGCATCATTGCACTGATATCGACAAATGATAATGAAGCCTTCTTGCAAATGAAGCAAATTGTTGAATGAAGGGTGGCACTACCACTTAATGACATTCACAACGAGGCTTTAATTAAAGGGTTAATTCGTAACAAATTGAAAAAGGCAAGTGGGTATATGAAGGAAGTAGACAATGGAATAAACGATATTATGATCAAACTCAAAGTATCAATAGGAAATTATTGTGATCATAAGTTTTAAAATACAAATTGGAAGATTGTCAACAAACAGATTAGTTAGAAAGTAAATGAAAATTTAAGTATTTCCTAAAGGATTTGGAAAATGTGAACCGATAAGAAATCCCAACATAACATGTCAATTTTATAGCAATTAAAATAATAAAAATTAATTGCTATTTTCATATGAAGCGATAAATACATCGATAGAAAATGATTAATGATACGATGAGAATTTGAAAACATTGACATTCAGAATTTTTAAATTGATGAAAAATTACGTGAAAAAGGTGATAGTTGTTTTAGTGATTGCATAAGTACTTGTTGTGATATCAAAGTGATAATTAATGGAAATGAAATAACAACTTGACAGCTGTATGGAATAATTCACTAAAAATTCGAAAAATGTTGTCATAGGTATGCTAGAATTTGGATTAAAGGCCTTAGTATAGAATTTCAATTTGCAATAATTATCCTTTCTACTCTTTTCCCCTCTCTTTTTGTTATCTTCTCTCCCCTCTCTTTTTGTTATCTTCTCTTTTCAGATATTTTCTCCTCTCTTTTTGTTATCTTCTCTTTTCAGATATTTACCTCAATTTTTTAAAATTTCAATTTAATGCAATTTTAAAATTGCAATCAAAAATTTTTGCTAGATTACTGAATTAATTGATTAATAATTAATTATATGATAATATATCTTTATGCAATAACTAAACCATATAGTTATCATTAACTTAACAAACTATATTCTCTCATTTCTTCCATTCTCTCTTTGTTTTTGCTATAATCATAAAAATTCAAAAAAAAAAAAATAATGAATAAATAAATAATTTATTCTTTGATAAATAAAATTTTTGGATAATTTCATCAACAAAAATTTTTTGTCCAACACTTTTTTTCTATGATATCATAAATATTTCATAATTTTTATCCATTCATTATTTTGTTTACTACGAAAAATTAAACTTATATTTTTCAAAAGCTAAATTTATACGCTTAACAAAACAATATAATATTTGGAACATTAATAAGAACAAAAATGCTTTAAAATAAGTCTCATTATTATTTTCTAATTAAATTTTTAAACAAATGTATGAAATTAATTAATTTGGTAGAAATAAAATCACCGAATAATTATTACAGTTCATGCAAATAGATGACAAAATATGATAAAGTAATTTTTGGAATTTTTGAATTTAATAATTTACACACAAAATCGAATGGATTAAGTTAAATAAGATTAAGTTGACAGTCATTTTATTCTAACCTTTTAAAATTAAGAAAACGTGCAAAAATGGAATTATCCAGAAATTTACTTCGATATATATTAAAAGAAAAAAAAGGTAAATTTAATGACAGCCGTAGGCGGAGAACGAAGTAAAGCGGAAAGAGAGCAGGTGGAATAAAAAAAGTAGAAATGGATCGAAATAAAAAATGGCGGAAAAATGGTATATATCAACTTCTTGAAAAATAGGCAATTCAAATATCCTTGCTTGGATAA